TGAAGACAAATGAATGCTCTTAATTCCTGGCCTTGAGATTTCAGTATGAACATACATATCTGCTAAGACATTTGTGCATTCACAGAAATCCAAATAACAAATTGAGAGAACTGTAGTTTTGTTAATTCACTAATTGGAGGTCTTGAAATGAAACCTAAAATGAAGTGGGGTAATCAAACATTATTTGTAGATCTAGATATAACAAACAACGTGCATATGCACTATTGTAGATGGCATCTTGTCAAAAACTCTAAATTCATCTAAAGATTATATTAGATAGCATCTAATATATTACCTTCACCCACATAAATGTTGGCATTGCTAGAAATGCAGTCAGGATTGTACATCCCGGCCGAATATATCCCTCTAACTCCACAGGCATACTGGCCAACCATTGGAATATCTGTAAATACAGTTACCACCTGTCAACCAATCCCTGATATCCTTAACTGTGTATAAATTAATTATCATTCAAATACTAAACTGTAATATAATTCTTTAAAATACTTGGTGTCGAAGCCTTCTAGGGAATTCTGCCGGATTCCAATCATAAAGCTTGAATGAGATCCGACCTGTCGGGCACTACAAGAAAAAATCCAGATCAGTTTATATCAACTACAACTCCACAAATTTAATAATAATAACAATAATAAAACAAGAAAAGAAAAAAAGAAACGAACAAAATCAAGCATGCAAAAACACGGAATCCACAAAATAATAGACCAACCATGGATGAGTAAGCACTCTTGTTGTCACAAATTGAAGGAGAAAATGGAATTTTGGAATCATCTTTCCCACAATCCATTCGCGTGTCCCCGGAAGCCGTGAAAGAGACTCCACTATCACTATTAACATTTTGAGAAATAGGATCAGAGTTCAAGGCTGAAATGTGTCCATCTTCAGACTCAACCAACCCTTCTTTCTCAACCATCTGACTACTGGACCACAAACCATCTGCACCACATAGAATACATCAGGCCGCACACCAAATGCCACACTTGGTTCATTTAGAAATTGGAAATGGAACATGAATCTCTTTCCAATCCTTGACTAAAAATCTTTTGCTTCGGCACATAACAGGGATTTAAATTCCGTATAAAATGGGATGCTGTATTATCAATGTGATAGATTATTCCCTTTCTTCAGTAAAAATAACATATATATATATATAAAGAAAAACCTTTGCCAGCTTCAGCATCACAATTAGTATCTTCAGTTAGCAAATCCCCTTGAACTTCCTTATCACCTACACTGCCCTTACTAGAATCAGCTGGCTTCCTTCTCCTTCTATTATTATGCCTCTCTAATTTCCTTCTACAACTCCTTTTCCCTTCATCAAAATCCGATAACACATGAAACCTGCCATCAAATGTCATACAATAAAAACTCGACTTTTTTAATAAGGCACAGGAATTTGATATCAAAAAACACTAACTTGCCACACTGTTGACAGTATCTTTTAGTTTCCCCATCAAGTACAACAGCAGTAGCATTAGCACACCCTAAACAGACCCTGTGTCTTCTATGATACCCTTTAAGTTCACTAATATCCGCTTCACAACTCGGTACTTGACACCTAGCAATACTCGACCCGGCACGAGCAACCCTAGCCCGTTTTTTTCCAGGTAGAGCAGCCTCTTCCTCTAGTAATAATGCATCCATCTCCGGACACGCACACGGTACTATACCCGCTAGAAAATTGGAGCAAGTCAACCTCGGGTCTCGCTTCCTTACCCGATCAGAAACAGGAGCTTCAAGCTGTTGAGACTCGACTTCAGGCGTTGGATTGTCAATAGGTTGTGTGACGTCAACAACTGTATCGAAAGAGAGAGGGAATTGATCGTCCACGGTGAAGTCCAGGAGATCGCCCCAGTCCCATTCGGTGGAGACCGGAGGAAGGTGGAATTCCATGTCGCCGTCGAGTTGTGGTGGTGGGGGAGGAGAAGGAGAAGAGGAGGAGGAGGTCTCCATGATTAGAGGAGGAAATAAAGATGAAAAACCCTAAGCTTTTGGAATTGGGGGTTTTTATTGGCGCGGAGGAGACGGGAAAGGAGGGGTCCGGTGGTTGGGTTATGGCTGGGTAGGGGGTGCATCGAGGTCTTTGAAGAGGTTTGTTTTATTATTAGAGAGAAGTGAGGTTATAGTGGCGACATGGAATGTAGATTGTCGTCAACAAAGTTACGCTACATTTTGTGGCACGCGCTATTGAATATGATTTGTAAACAGCTACGATACAGCTAAATTAAATGAAATCATCTTCTAAAAGAAATGAAAATAAAAGTATATTTAGCGTTGCCCTCGTAGATAAATGTCGTCTGGCTTACATTTTTAAAATAATTTGAATTTTTTTATTAATTTTAAATTAATATTTTCCAATCATTTTAATATGTTATTAATTTAAAATTAGTATATATTTTAATACAATAAATTATTTAAAAAACAATCACATGAAACATTGTTTTAAAACTTGAGTCAAATAGGGGATTAATATGGGATTGTATTAAATGAAATCTAGAATGGTCTAGTTTAAAATATAAAAAAAGCAATTTATTTAATTTAATTTAAAAATTAAATTAAATTTATCAATATATTAATTTAAAAAATTATTAAAATAATATTATTTTAATTTTTTAAAAAAATATTTATAATCAATCCTTTTAATTTATAATTTGAGCTTTATCTGAAGTTAAAACTACATATAATATATATAGGTTGCATAGTTATTGAAATTTATAAAATGATTTATAGTTATTAGCTAAATTGATATCTTCCACAAGAATTAGAATCAGTGTTGCCTAAGTTCTCATGGATAGAATTCAGAACGAATATTTTAACGAACTTGCACTAAAGAGTATTGTTCGATTAATTATGGAAGCTATAATTAAAAATTAATATTTTACAGCTCTTATTTTTACTAGATGGCATTGGAATAATTTTAGTCATTTTATTTTCTGCACTAATCTTATTAGTTTTATTTTATTCTTTCAAATGTCTTTAAAAAGAAGAAGCTAAGCTAGATAGGTATTTTACAAAAGTTATATTTAATATAAAATTTCTCCTCTTTAAAATTATAAATTAGGGGAGGTCATCTCTAATTTATTTATTTTTATCATTTTCAGGGATTAAATTTTATTTAGAATTCAATTCTTAACATTAAAAGAATTTCAAACATGAGTTTTTATTAAAAACATCTTAATAAATATTGTGAATTGTATTGTTAAATATAAAAGAAATTGTATGGTAAATAATATTCATATCAATTGTGTGTTGACGGGTTGAACTGGAGTTTTGGAGAGATTTAAATTTTTCTGTTTTAAATTAATTTTTTTAGTATTTTAAATTGAAAATATTTTTTAAATAAAAAATATATTATTTTAATATAAAAAATATTTTAAAAATAAATTTTTATCATTATAATTAAATATCACCTCTAGGTACTTTGAAGTGGGCTCTTATCTTAAAAGGTTTAAAAATTTATTTAATATTGATGTAATAATCTTTTAAAAAGTATTTTTTATTTAAAATTATATAAATAATATTTTTTTTTAATTTTATTTTTTATATGGTCATGAAAATATAATTTTAAAACACAAAAAAATATTGTAAAACCAAAAAAAATTGTAAAAATATTTTTAAAATATAAAAATAAAAAGTCTCTAAATTAAGCTTGCTGTGAGAGGTGGCGTGGGGCGGAGGCGAGTGGGGTTGGAAAGTGAAGCATCTTTGTCGATATTAAATGACAAGAAGTAGTGATGACATGTCTTTCCCGTCAAAGCAGCCAAGGCAGATTTTAAAGGTGCCTCTCGGGGTGCAGGGAATGGCCAGATCCCATTTTCGAGGTGTAAACTTACAGACTGTAAAAAGTAAAAACACGTTCAGGAGCGCCTCTGACACTGCCGTCTATTTCACCGTGCGTAGGATTATTTTCAGGGGACAAGTTATCTAGAAGACCCAGACTAGTAATATAGTTTTTTAACATCACACACGCACACTTTAAAATTATTTAGTAAAGTTAATTATATTTAATATTGATATAATTATTTATACAACACTAATAAAAAATTTCTTTTTTTACATAAAAATATATTAAACAACCTTTTAATTTTTTGATCAATATTTATAGCTCTTCAACTTAAAAATATTATTTTAACTCTTAAATATAACTCTCCCATGAGAGCAATAACTATAACAAAAAAGACGCAAATTAAAAAATAAAATACACTGGGTTCTTCTCTTCCATATATTTTAAGATCAAATTAAAAAAAAATATTTATGAAAATATTAAGTTATTGTTTAGAAAAGTGGTAAAAGTTAAAATATTTTTTACTTAAAAATACATAAAAATGTTTTTATTTTTTATTATCAATTTATCAAAATAAAAAACATAAAAAATTAACTCAAAATTAAAAAATAAAATTTTTTCATAAACATGGTCACACCGCATTCTCTTGCAATGTCAATAGAAGTTATTATATTTTAAAAATATTTAGTTAATTAACATATATTATACATCCATACATATTTCATTGAAAACTCTCTCTTAAAATTTTAATTACACAAAAATAATGATTTGTAACTTGTTTTAATCCATTTTAAAATTATAATGTTAAAAATTATCACAATGTTAAATATAGATTAAAAAGATGTTTGAGATAATTATAATGATTATTTTTTAAAATATTTTTATTTTAAAAATATATTAACAAAAAGTAAATACAACTAAGTAAATCTTAATTTTTATCATTTTTAAAATTAAATATTTGTCTATTTTTTTTTAATTATTATTTATGCTTTTTTTATTTATAAACATTCATAGTTTTTCATTTATTTAATTATATGTATGTATATATTTTTAATTTTTATTTATTTTTTTAAAAAATAATATATATATATATATAATTTCTTTTATTAAAAAAAAAATATTTAACTCACAAATCAAGTATCTAATAAATTTAAACTAGAGGGATACCGGTGATTTTCCCTTGTTTTTGTCTGACAATGCATCACCTACTTAACCTAGCGTTTCTCATTCGCAGTCTCCCTCCAAAACTTTCGAAACACACAAACCCTTCTCAAGGGTTAGGGTTAGGGTTTTGCCTTATCTATATACATAAAAAAAACCACTCTTCTTCATTCCAATAATAATAGCCTCGCCAATTTAAACAACAATGCCAAGGCACAGAAGCCGGAGCAGAAGCTACAGTCCTGGTCGCCGTAGCCGAACCCCTCCTCGGGGCCGTAAGCGATACGATGACGAAGATCGCCACCGTGACACCCGTTCTTACCGTGACCGTCGCTCTCCTGCTCCATCTGGCTTGCTCATTCGCAATCTCCCTCTCGACGCCAGGTCCTTTGCTCTTTCCCTCTCTATTGTTTAATTGTTTTTGCAATTTTTACTAATCAATTCGGCTTAAGGACAGTTGCTATGCTACCGTTCAAGTTTATTAACTAACGATGGAATCTTCGATGGTAATTGTGAACTGAATTGTGAACATTTATTTATTCAAGTCGTGTAATATAATTGTTGAATATTTTTAATCAGGTGATTACACTCGTATTGTTTCCATTATTGTTTAATACCTTAACCGTTAATTTATAAGGGAGAGGGTTTTTATGCTGAGTTTTTAAGTTCTTTAGCGAATTGTTGAATCGTCGTCATTGGAATTTTGAATGTCCGATTCCTGTCTGTTGATCTATTAATGTAAAAAACTTACTGGTCATGTCATGTTCTGCAGGCCTGAAGATCTTAGGGGGCCATTTGAGAAATTTGGTCCTTTGAAAGATATTTATCTGCCCAAGAATTACTACACTGGGTAATTGTTTGTTTTTATTGTATAAATGATGTTTGGTTTTCAGTTGTTTTGTCCCTGACTTGTTAATGTTGGTGTTTCTCTGCTTTATTTCTTAATCACAATATTGATTAGTTTGGTTGTTGGTTAGTTTTTTATGATTTTTGTGTTGCTGTGATAATAGCGAACCACGAGGGTTTGGATTTGTGAAGTATCGTTACGGTGAAGATGCAGCTGAAGCAAAAAAACGGATGGACCATAAAATCATTGGTGGACGTGAGATAAGAATTGTCTTTGCTGAGGAGAACAGAAAAACACCTCAAGAAATGCGCAGAACTCCTCGTACAAGGTGTGTCAATAACTTACTTGACTCCAGTGATCCATCTTTATTCAGTTCTTATTGTATCAATTTTTCTGTTCAACTGAAACAGCACTTTTTAAATTTTATTTCTAGTGACCGACATGGAGGCAGCCATGGAGGGAGAACACCACCAAGGTCCCCAAGACATCGATATTGTTGTTAGTTCAAATTTTCCCTTGTAAATTTATCTGACTTCTTTATCAAAATATTCTTCAAAATTTTGTGGTTTATCTAAACCTTATTATGCAAGTGATCTGTTTTTGAAATCAATGAATTTTTCCTTGAATAATTTTGATGAACTGTTGAATTTTTTCATTGACAGCCTACTCACGCTCACCTTCACCTGCCAGGCATGATTCGAGGTTTGATTTTATCTGTTCAGTATCTGTTTTGCTTTCTTTGTGATGCAGTTACATGTTATTGTCATGGCATTTCCTTTCTCTTATCTTTTTGTAACATGCATGAAAATTTGTTTACATTTATTTGCTAGTGAATTGTATCTTACAACTGTAAGCTTCTGCATACCAGCAGTTTTTTCACAAGATTAAGCTGCTGATTTCTTTTATCACTTCTACACTTTTCACTTTCTTTTAGGAGATATTAGAGTTTCAACCTTAGCAATAGTGGCATGAAATCATAGAGGATTGCTGTATCTCTTTCCATATACCATGAAGTAGATGGAGCATTTTATTGCTCTGTGAACAGTATGAGTTTGTAACATTATTTTGTTATTAATAGTATTGACTTCACATACCCATGTGACTGGTAAGTTCATGTGGGATGCACTCCCACCTAACAAACAGCATGGTTATCGCTGTCAATGATGATCTAGTGATGCATTACTTGTTCATTTGTTTTCTTGGTTCTGAGGAGGTTGGTATTTGTTTTCTTTATTTCCCACGCGCCTAGACTTGACATTTCATGTGTTTCAATGAATTTGAATGTTATCTGCCGGTGACCTTGTTTCTGCAGATGTTAAAGTGAAAAAGGAGATGATAAATAAAGATTAATTCCAAAAAGAATTCATAGTGATGGTCGACATGCTTATCTTTCAATGAAAGCCTTTCAATAAGTTTTGACCATAATCCCACCTTCACCAGCTATTCTCTACAAACTGCATTTGGCTTTCCCGTTCTTTGACATTTGGGTTGGTGAGGTTTACTGCAGTTGAATTGGACTATAGCCAAACTTGATGTGAGGGATGACTAGAATCATAGGGTGTTCATTCTTTTATTTTTCATAAAAAACTTTAGATAAAATTTTTAATAAGGGTTTTTTTTAAGTTTGATATCTTGTTTTGCATATACTATCCAGTTAAGAAAGAATATAAAGCTTATATTTGGCCCAAGAAAGAAATCATCTTCAAAGAAGGAAAGCTATTCAAAGTTTTACTGGTAGAGATATGATGGCAATGTCCAAGAAAAAGATAATATGAGATTTTAGAATGTTGGGGCAAAGAGAGCCATGAAGTTATCGGATGCTGATCAATAGAGCCCAACTGTCAATTGTTTGGATGCAAGTATCATAATATTGTTCAGAAACCCTGAAAAGGTGCAGGTAACAGCCATATTTTGATCAATTAGATTTTCAACGAAGCTGCAGGCAAAAATATCATTTCTCTAGAAACAAGTCATCTGTCATTTATCTAAATGGAAGAATGCATACTTAAATTGCTTTATTCATGGAGACCACAAATTCAGACAGATCTATTATAACTGGAGTAAATATGCTTCAAATTTCTGTTTTCTTTGTCTAGCTTCATCATTGATCTAGTCACTTATTTTGGGAAGTTCTTTTATATATCTTTATTTTCATTGAGACAGGGATCGCGTTGTGAATGAGGATTATTGCTCTCCACGGAGATTAAGATCCATTTCACGCTCTCGTTCTCCACTAGATGAGAGGGACTTCCAGGTAGACCAGCGGTCGCTAAGTCCATTGCAGAAGGGCCGAAACCCCAAGGAAAGGAACCATGCATCTCGTGGGTCAAGGACTCTGAGGGCCAATAGCCGTAGTCCATCAAGGTCGCATTCACAATCCTATGGGTAAGTACCTTCTGCTTCCTTATTTCCTTTTTTATCAAATAAAGTCATTTGATATCTATTATTTAGTTCTGAAAAAACCATTGTGAGGTGAATGTATGTCTTAGGTCTTACCAGAATGTAATAGGAAATCTGGCAAAGCATCTAGTGCTCAAATTTCCAAAATCGTACTTTTCTATAACTATTGAGGATATTGCTCTGTTACATGTAGTTTTCAGAACATGGATGTAAGCCACAATGCTGGATGTAAGCCAGCTGAGTGTCAAAGTCCAATGCACAATGCAGTCATAGAAACAGTTCTTCCTATACAGAACATGGAAGTGCGGTGTTTGATCTGATTTGAGCCATTCGGGATAAAAAGACTGAAAAGTATTCACGCAAACAGCGTTCCTTTGTTACATGTAGTTGTCAGCCTTTTTTATGATGCTTTTGGGGGTGTCTAGTCAGCATAAAGAGATGTTATAGAGCTCTGTCCTAGTTTTGTTTTTGTCTTTATCATGAGGAGAATGGCTCATCCACCTGTTTGTAATTTCTCCTTGAACCACTTTTGCTTAAAACGACTTCTTTATACAAAAAATAAAAATAAAAATAAATAATAATAAAATAAATAAATAAAAGGAGCCAGTGAGGGAACTTATGAAGTATGCGTTGAGTGTTGTTGTTTTTTAAGTAGTATAGCGAAAAGGTTTTTTGTGATTCCTACCTTTTTTTATGAAGTTCAAATGATTTGTCATGGTTTCTGCTTTGGTTATTCTTAGATGTCCACATGTAGAGTATGCTAGCTTGCCTTCATCTTTTTCTTTGTAGTACTTGAAATACTGGAGTACTGATCCTTTGTTTTTTCCGTGCAGTTCTCGCTAATGGCTGTTCTTATTTACGCTGCCATTTTATGCTGGATGCGGTTCTGTTGGAGATCATCCCGCGGGGTAGTAACTATAAGCTCTATGAAGAATGTTACTATGGCTATGATATGTGGATTTCTTTTGGTTTAGAGTACTTGTTATCTCAGTGACTAGGATGCATTCTCGTGCATGTCAATATTTTGTGCTGCTCATGTGGTTCCTGTTGGAAATCGTACTGTCTAGATGACTTGCTAATAACCCTATTTGGCTGCCTATGTTCATGCCAAGTGAATTCAGACCCATCGTATTTTAGTATTCCATAAATTGGTGTTTGTAATTTCCAGAGCTCATTACCTTATTACTAAGGTTGTGTTGTTTGTTTACTGTAAACTAGTTTTTTTTAAAAAATAAATTTTAAAAAAATAAAATATTTTTTAATGTTCGGTAATATAATGAAAAATAAATTGGAAGTTTTTCATAACTTCCGGAAAATGTTTTCCACTTAAATTTTTCAGGGAAACACTTTCCTGAAAACCAAGTTAAATTTTCCTTTAACTGGAAAGTGTTTTTCGTTGATCAACTTTTCTAACGGCAAACAAACACAAGAAAGTTTGGAAAATGATTTTCTGGAAATAACTTTCCAAAAAACAAACACAGTAAAAAAAGAAAACACTTTCTTGAAAATCAAGTTAAATTTTTCTTTGACTGAAAAGTATTTTTTGTTGACTAGAAAGTGTTTTCCGTCGACCGAAACATATTTTTCGTTTACCAACTTTTCTAATGACAAACTAATACGAGAAAAGTTTGGAAAATAATTTCTCAAAAACTACTTTTTAGGAAACAAATATAGCCTAAAAGAATTGGGCATCTTATAGAGCCTTACTGTTAATATATACAATATGAACTACTTTTTAGAAAACAAATATCTTGATGCATCTTTTTAATTGTTTTGCATGAATTCTATGATAGTTAAAATGCCTGAAGCGCGCAGCAATGTCGAAGGTTGTAGGTTTAAATCTGTGGGCCAACAATTTTTCTTTCCAAAAATTTAGGCCATGTTCACTTAGAAAAAATGATTTTCTGGAAATGATTTTTTAAACTTTCTATTTGTTTATTATTCAAAAACTTGATTAGTAAAAATAACTTTTTAATCATAAAAATTTGGTTTGTTTTTTAAGAAAGTGTTTTTTTTTTTTATAATGTAAAACACTTTTTAGAAGTTGTAAAAAAATTAAAAATATCATATTTTTTTTATTATATCAAATTTGGTCCTTAAACTTTTGAGTGTTATATATTTTATTTTGAATTTTTTTCTTTTAATTTCATTTCTTAAAATTTGATTTAATTTGATTTTTATAATAATTTTGGTTTCTATTTTTATGATTGTTATTTGTTTTTTAATTAATTTTTTTTATCTATTAAATTTGGTCCTTATTCTTTTGATTATTATTTATTCAATTTGAAATAATTTATGAAATTGTAATTATTATTATTATTTTGATTTCATTATCTTTTGATTTTTGTACCCGTTAGATTTGATTTTTATAATTTTGATTACTATTTATTTTATTTGAGATAATTTATGAAATTAGATTTTTTTCAATTTTATTTTCAATTAAATTTTTAATTTGTAAGATTTGTTTCTTATTATTTTAATAAACTAGAAAAAATAAAATATCAATAAATTATTTTCTAATTTATCTTTTATAACATAATCAAATATTGAAAAGTAGTTTTTAATTTATTTTTCTATAAAAAATAAAAATTTAGATGAAATGTCATTCATCGTTCGGCCACCATGCATGACATACTACAATGGGCTAGAAGTTGGGTGTGATCTTGTTATGTTATTTTCTTTGTTTTATCTCTTTTTTCTTCTTTGAGTTTTTTGTTTGGCACTCAATTTTTTTTATATAAAAAATACTTGTTTTTCAGTTTTGACATGACTTTAAAATATTATTATAATTTATTTTGGCAATTATTATGCATTTCATTTAAATATAATAAAATCCAATTCATTTTTTTATTCTTAAAACTTTTAAATATACTTTTAATATGATTTTATTATATTTATAATATTTTTAGCTTTCAATCATCTATAAAAAATATGAATATACTATTTTAATATTATTTTTCTCAAATTACTTTAAAAATCATAAAATATTTCTAGTTCAACTAGTTGATTAATTTATAATGATTAGTGAAATTGATGATGAATTCTAAAAATATCAAGAAAAATCTTAAAATTGTCAAAATAGAGGGGGCTTTAATGAAATTTTCAACATTTGGTGGTCCATTTAGTAACACTATGACAATTATAAAGAAAACAACTTATAAAAATTTGTGTAAAAAATTAAAACTGATTCAATAATCGAATAAAAAATTATGATTTTTTAAATTGTTATTTTAACCTGACATGATTAGGTTTGTCTCACTAGTTTGTAAATCCATATGCTAGATTATTCACATAATTTATTTATAATAAATTTTTATTTAATTATAGTAGATTTTATACCTAACTAATCAGAATTATCCATTATTATGAATAATAATTTTTTAAGATTTTAATTAGAGTTTATTTTTGAATTTATAATTTGAAAAAAGATAATTTTGACTCAAAATATATTTGAAAGAAATTTTTTATAAAATTATTAATTTTGTGTGAAAACAATTAAATGGTTAATACAGACTTTAATAATAATTGTTTTTTTTTCTTTTTATGGTTTTACTTCTCTCACGCACATATACACGTATTTTTACTTTGATATTGTAGTCAAATTACGATGATTAGATAAAAAGTTTGAAAATTTTAATTTTTCAACCCTCAAGTTTCCTATATTCTTCAGCTCATTTCTTTCTCTTATTCAGCTCCTTTTTCTTCTAATCCTCGACTTTCTATCTTATTTCTCTTACATCTTTCTTTTACTCTCTCTCAGCTTAGACATCAAAGAGCAAGGCTTTTACCTGTTTTTACTGTTAAACGACCCGTCAAAAGGCCTATTCAAATTCTGAAAATTCAATAACAGTTCACAAACCCTAGAACCCGTGCATCTTCGATCAACCCGTGATCTAACAAAAAAAAAAAAAAAAGTAACCGTATTATCAATACAACACCAAGGGCATGGTTGACAGTCACGTGACCAAGAAGAATAGAAGTCAAATTCCCAGAGAACAACCACCAGATTCCCCCGTATATCGATCTTTTCTTGTTTCTCCAATTCTCCCTCGGCGAGCTTTGGTAGAGAGCTTGAAAACACAGAGCTCTCGCAGGAGGTTTCCAGCGCGCATGACAAGCCAGGAGATAAGTTGAATTAGGAATAAGGTGCAAATTATATTTTTAAAAATTTTAATTTATTTAAAAAAAATTGTTTTTATATTTTTAAATTATTTTAATATATTAAAATTAAATAAAATATTTTTGATTTTAATATATTTTTAAACGAAAAATACATTAAACTGTTATCATTACCATAACCCTAAATAAATTATAAAAAACAAAATAAAACTTTACTTTTTTTTAGTCAAAATTCAGCAATACCATATATATATATATATATATACAATAACTTAAATTATCTACATGATTTATAGCCATTATCAAATAATCTAGAGGATGAATCATTTAACTTTCTAATTATTGAATTTTACTTTTCTAGTTTTATACTAGCTATTTATTGTCACTAATAAACTTTTTTGTCTAAAAAAATAATAATCCCATTTAGCATTTCTATAAGTTTTTTTTGCCTAACAACCTCTTTCGTTATTGATATTTAAAATTTAGTTTTATTTATTAATTGTGAGTTTTTGTTAGACTTGTAAAAAGTTATAACATTGTATTTAGTTAATCATTTATACTTAAAAAAATCTAGCATTTCATGTTTATAATTTTCTTAATGTGTTATGATATTGATTAATCTTCAAGTCAAAAAAAAAACAAAGAAAGAAGAAGAAGATAGAATTAGCTTCTTTTTTTTTTGTAATTCCACTTGTAAGAATTGTTTATGATTTTAATTTTATTTGTAAGTAAGTGTAACATATATTTACATCATACTCATCCAATGTCTATCTTTGGTTCTATATTTATTATAGACTGGATTATTAGTGATACCCTTAAGGTTATTCAAGAAGAAACTATAACTTATGCAAACCCAATTAACCAACCTGTTTCAAAGAGTTGAACCCTTGAAAAGTTCTCAAATAAAGTACTTAAAAGCCTAATAAAAATCACATCAATAAATATTGTAGGCAAGTTCACCAAGGATACCACCAGCATAACATAACTATCATCTAGGCTATTTTAGTTATGTTAACCTTAATAAGCAAGTCATGAGACCTAATATAATGGAGATCTTGACTTTTGACAATTATCATGATTTTTAGTCGTTAGTTTTTTAATTGGTCTAACTTGTTAAAAAAAATAAAAAGGTTAGTTTTGTTAAGATAAAACTCATTAATATTGCTTCATTTTATTAGAAAAATAATAAGGACTATTTAGAGAGGAGAGGAAAATTTTCTATCATTGATTAGACTGAAATAAAACAAAAATTACATGAGAATAATTTGTCATAATCTTATAGGAATAGACTTTTAAATCAATGGAACAATATTTGGCAATGAAATAAGTCTAATAGCGAATATATAGCACAATTTATTGAGTATAATGGAAAATATGCCATTAGAGAGAATGAAACCATAATTTTTAGTAGGTTTCTTGGAGGTTTGAATGATAATCTTAGAATAAAGGTTATACTTAAAAGTATTTCCACCATTGACTAAGCCTATAATATAGTGTAAGATTAGAAATTAGTTATAAAAAGTCAATGAATAAAACATTAGGACCACCATAACACCTTTGTCAAGTCTCAATTTAAGAATAATAGTTCTTTATTAGGTGCTACACCCCACAAACAAAATCTTAGGGGTGCCCAATTTATAGAGAAGATAAGAGAAAATGAATTGTTAATAAAGTGTTTTAGATGAGTTCAAGAGTTTAATATTTATTTATATAAGTATCATGATGTATTTGATGTTGAGAATATTTAATCATATAGATTATACCTGAATGTTGTCATTTGAAAAACAATTATAAATTGCAAGTGAGAAGCACTAGATCATTTAAAGTGTTGCAAATGTTTGAATAAAATAATTATGTCATTAAACTGCTATTAAACTTTGATATTAACTTTATCTTTGATTTAAAGAGCTTTATTTTATATAAAAGACAACATCTTATCCATGATGCTTATTTTTATTATTGGTATAAAATAAATATATTAATATTATTTTGAATTCACATATTTTTATCAGGGATGGTGAAGTTAAAGAAAAATTCTAGTTTATGAGATAGCTACCTAGATTGAGATTGTATTTGGATTACATGACAAACATTGCAACAATTTAATTTTAATTTTTTAAGTTGCAATTTAATTTTAATTTTTTAAAATGTAATCGGAGCCATCCAGAGATATCCTTGATGAGCTCAAAACATGTTGCAACAATTTAACAACATATAGGAGCTAAATTCAGTTTAGTTTTGTGAATTTTTAACTAACTAGTTGGTTGTTTCATGGTTTTACCCTTGTATTTAAATTATAATAATTTGATAAAAAGTTTGGGACTTTCAATTTTCCAACCCCCAATTTTCCTCTCTTTTCTTTCTCTTCTTTAGCTCCTAATTTTTTGCTCTTCACTTCTCCCCTCTTACCTCTCTTACCTCTCTCTTCTGTCCCCATCAATAACCAAACTGGAGAGACGGAACGGAATGCATTCTGGGAACTTGCGAAATAAAAGGAGATAACCTTTACTCAATAGTGCTCTTTCCAGGAATCAGGAACTCGCCTTTCAAAAATGCGGAATTTGTGGCTTAGGTTCAAAATCTTGACAAGTAATTAAGGACTCTCTGTACTTGCTATGAATGTATCAATGCCTGCATTCCTTCAGAGGCCAGCAAACCTGGCAACAATATGCAGCAGGAGAGCCTTTCAAAATCCCATCGCTAATTTCAGGCCAAAATAAAATTTTCAAAAGCACAGTTGGACTGGAATAACAAAAAGGGTCTGATGTTATGCCGCACTAAACCTAGTTTCTTCATGAATATTTATCAAACAGAATATTTCAAGCAGGCTGCAGATCTATCAGAATCCAAAAGCAAGTATTGTCATCGGCAAACATGCTTAAGCACGGGAAAACATCCTATCCTTTCTTTTGAATGCAATCTGAAAGTACAATCCGAGTAACAGAAGGGAGACAATATTGGCACAAGAAAAAGAAAATTTTTAGCACCAGCAGTATTTGCTCATCACAAACTGTTTTGTGACCTAAATTATTGTGAGCTGATTACTAGTTCCGTTTGCCAATCATTCCAAAGGGCAAGCTTTCTCAAATGCTTGTTGCTCTTTGCGACACAAATCAAATTCATTTGTATAGTAATACATGCAACCTACGTAAGCATCCATCTCATTTGTGCACTTCTGGTGAAGATCTTTCAACCTGCAGTGGCAAACATCTCGAAGTTTAGATTATACAACCAAGCATGCCATAGTGTGAAATGGTGAGCATGTGCTGGTGGGTTGGTTTGATGCTGGATAGAGTCCTTTATATAAGTAACTGATATACTGTTCATTAGATATCATTTTACAATAAATTAGGCAATTTTACCTGTGGGATATAAAGAAGTCATACAGCCTATCAGAAAAACGAAAACTAAAAATAATTTTTGTGGTACAGCTTGTTCACAGTATTGCACACCGGAAGAAAATGACATTCTGACCATCTACCAGGTCACAAATAGATCAAGTTCAATCGTGGATGAGACATTCAGGTATGATAATTTATTCAACAAGCAGAACTCACCTAATTTTGTACATGCAAGCTATAAATCTAAGTGTGGAAATGCCAATGCATGCAATTTTTAATCCTTCTACATTACAATCAATTTGTCTGAATCTATAATATCTGCAATACCCCGATTGCTAAGATAACAGAAACAAAATAGAGTCAATGGATGGAAAAATGAATGCAATGGATTCACTCAGTCCCTGATTGCATTACAGGATTGTTAAAGGTGACTGGATCTCTGTTGCATGAAACCATTTAAAGCATGAACTTTGAACTACTTTTTTTTTAATCAAGACTCTGTACTCTTATGAATAATTGCTTGGATTATGACCCAGAAATGTAATCAATGTTAGCAAGGTTTAGATTCTTGACTATCTACGTCCATAAGGTGGACACATAATACACTATTTCAAATCTCTTTCTCAAGCAAACATGAATTAATAACGATAGCGGGGTAGTATCAATACCATGCATCTAGTTGCAGCCACTCAATGCATCAGAAAGCTAACTACATACATCAATCAGCTGCTTTTGCCTAACTTTCAATACCAAAGATAAATGCAGGCGTAAAAAATAATCCAATTTTAGCTCCACAAAGAATTCAGAAACAATAAACACTACATCAACTACTCATTCTAGCTTGATGCCTAAACCATATCAGCAACTCTACGAACTTCATATCTAGCAAAACAAATCAATAAATTGATTCCTCAACTTTGAAACACAAAATGAAACCTTCATCAATATGAGAGCCAAAAAAAAACAGGGAGATGATGCAAGTTCCTTAGTTCCCATTAAAACCTCTATCAACCTCATGGGAGTAGACATTCCGACCTCAATGCAAAAAACACGAAAAATCAGAGACCCGACCTTGCTTTCCAGCTCAATCCCACCACATTTCAACAGCCAAACAGACCCAAAATAAAATAACCACAACCCAACATTTCATTCACCTTCATATCTCAAACAAACTTCCCAAACACCCCAAAACCCTTAATACCAGTACATAAATTTCAATTAAACATCATTAATTAACACAACAAATAATGAATTAACGATCATCAGCAACAGTATCACAAGAAAAATACTAGATAAAAAAGGTTCAAGACAAAATTATAAAGATTTGCACTTACAATCCAAGGACACAGCGAGTGACTTGCTGGCCTTTATCGAGGCATTTTTCCGGGTTTGGATCCTTCTTCTTGCATTTAAGAAATTCCACGTTCTCCGGAAAGCATCTTGTCGCTATATGCTTCGATGAAGCCGTTAACACCGCTGATGTCGGGATCGGGTTCCCCGTCGCATCCACAGCACTCGCTGCCATCTTCAACAATAATCTACAAAAGTAACAAAGTTCAAAACTTTTCTATCAATTCCCATATCTTCTCAGTAACCAATATAACATTAAGGAATTAACAAGAATTGTTTTTTGTACTTTTGTTTCCTTTACCACTTCGTTGCTACCGGGAAACAGGAGAGAGAGAGGCGACTGTGGAGGTAAAAGGAATGCTAATGGCTAGCATGACTGGTAAGGTCATTTTAGGTAATACACATTAATGATGGAGGGCATTTATGTAATTGAATCAAACCATGTGTGGTTTATTTCAATTTTCGAAGGGTTTTGTTTTTTCAGCTTCTGCTTTTCGTCGACCGACAATTTGTTGACGGCTGCAAAGAAGAGTACGAAGTGAGCATCTTCTTCTTCTTCTTCTTCGCTTCATTATGATGTATTAATCTACAGTTCTTTTCATGAGGTTTCTGTAAAATATTTATGTATAGTGGGATTTGCTTAGTATGGCCACTATGAGTTAGGTTTTTATTTTTTTTATTTTTTATGGAAAGGGAAAGAATAATGAGAGAATTAATCATGGTTTTGAGTCGGAAGGAGTGGAAATTAAAGGAAGATGCTTTAATGAGTTTGAAGTTTCGTGTATTTTTGGTCCGGTTCATTACATCAAGTTTGTTTAAAAGGTGTTTGATAAAATGTCTAAGTGAGACTTCCTTATTGTAAATGTGGTATGCTGTTAGGGTACACTGATTCCATCTTCTTCTAGTTTACTGGTACTGTGCTGTATAGGTTTTATAGTTCACGAGGTAATGCTAATTGAGATGGATTTTGAATTCCAGTTATTAGATATGCATGCACCCATAATAAAAAATAAATTATAAGAATTAGGAGTCATTAAGTAGTTATATTTTGATCATGTAGGATTCTAGGAAAGATAATTTGAAGAAGCTCCTATCGTTGAACATTTTTATTGAAGTGACTGCTCTGAAGGACATGAATGCGCATAGCTATGGTTGGAACTGAAAGTTTGCCTTTTGCTTTTAGTTTTTAAAGCAACATGTCTGTCAGTTTCTTTAGAAGAATATGTTTTCATACTGTTTGGTGACTTTCTGTTGTACACACACATATATAGTTAAGCAATGGGTGACAAAAAGAAGAAGACTTTCATGTTCATCCGCCTTGTTTCTGCTGCTGGAACTGGATTCTTCTATGTCAAGAGGAAGAGTGCCAAGAAAGCTTTGGAGAAGCTCGAGTTTCGCAAATATGACCCTCGAGTAAATCGCCATGTTCTTTTTACAGAGGCAAAAATGAAATGAGAGGGAAAGGCAATGCAAGAGGTTTATCTTTTCTTATCTACTTTTCTGGGTGAGTATCTTGTGACTGTTTCCATGGATAATTTCATAGTTTAGTGGAGCTGAATAATTACTCTTGTATTATTGGTTCAATTTGTGTTCCTTGTTCCTCCTCCTAGCCACCAGAGATTTCTTGACAGACATAGGACTCCTTGGTCAGGCTTTTTTGTAGGATGCTCTAGAGCGTGAACATTAACTGAATTTGTGATATCGTGATGATGTTTGTGATCTCTCGAGTCTTGGGGCTTGCAACTTTCTCAACAAACGCATTCAAATTCCTAAAATTCATGTTCATTTCAAGTCTTCATACTGAACAGTAGTGTTGCCTTGCATCATGTTTTACCAACATGGAGTTCGTTGATGACCCGCCTGGATCATGTGGTTAGAAGCCAACTGGTTAGGCTGTAATTTGCACTCATTGGACTATCATTTATTTCAATTATGGACTTCAATTTTTACACATCCATCATTTAGTGATGTGATTGGGTTGCCTCGTTTTTGAATGCCATTTCGTGAGTAACAAGTTGATTCTACATGGGAATGTCAACAGGCCTGTTGAAAGAAGGTGATTGATTTCATTTTCAAATGTAAAAAATGAGGTCAAGGGCCCATCTTTGTCATGCTTTTCGTACTAGACAATTTTTATTTCTATAGCCACCACGGACGGTGGTGGTTTCTTGCAGCTGTCATGGATGCCTGATTCTAATCACTTGCAACCAGTGCATTCTTGAATTGCCACCTTTCGTAGCAGTTCCTTTGGGCTGGCGTAGTGAAGTAATAACTGTATAATCAATTATGACTTCAATAATTTTTGGCTTTGCCCCACGGCCGGCAATCGATGCCGGCGATAATTGTTATAGTGGTTAACTGTATAATTGGCCGAGAATTTTTCTTTTTTGAACGTTGTTAAAAAAAAAAAATCTATGTTTAGGGAAATTTTTGATAGTCAGCGGTCAACCTTGAAATATTTTGTCTAGCTTAGGATTCAAATTCAACAGTTTGAGAATTATTCTAACGTAACTTAAAATGATTTGGTGGGTTAAAAAGTAATCCAATCAGTGAAAATATAATTTGGATCCAAATAAAAATTTCAAGATTATGTTTTTTTATATAGATATTAAAACAATGATATATTAAATTGATATGAGTTTCATAGTTTAATTTGTTAATTTATACTTTGAATCATTGATTTATTGGATTTTATATTTTTTAAACTATTTTTTATTTAATTATATGGTAACAAAAATAATTATTTATAAAATTAAACTTTAATTTTACACATCAAGGAACTTGTTTAACACTGTGATAGCCTTATAAAAAACAAATTGAAATAAATTATGTAGTTTAATATAACTTGCCAAACACGTAAGCAAAGTTTTGGATTCTACTGGGTTTAATAAAATAAAAATAAACACTTGTAAAATCAAGCAACAAACTCAATGCTATTATGCTTGTTTGAGAATGCAATAATATGTAAAAAGTAAACCAAAATAAATTATGAAATTTAATTTTTAATTAATTTAAATTAATCCATCAAATATGCAATTTAGATCATAGACTTTACTATGTTATGGAATTCACTAATTTAAACAATTTTATTTTTTTGTTTAATTATTGATAAAAAAATCTTCTCGTAAAATTAAGCACTAAAAATATTAGAGCATTTCTTTAAGATGATAATAAATCTATAAAAAAGTAAATTATAACAAATTATATAGTCTAATTCAAAATCAATAAAATATTAAAAAATTAAAAAAATCAATAAGAAAAACCAATAAATATCCAATATCCAATAATAATAATAATAATAATAATAATAATAATAAAATCAATTTAAAAAAATCCCTTGCACTAAAAACATTAGGACAGTTCTCTATGCCTAGGCCTTTTTGTTTATTCTTTAATATTTTAAGGGTTAGACAAAATATTATTTATTTTTTAAAAGAAAATATAGCAGGTGATGCGTCACTTACTTTTCCAGATTCTCAGTGATCACAAGTGACAAGAAAGTCAAGCAATTCAAGGGATAAAAAACCCATATTTCAACAATTATTTTAGTTGAAAATATCTAAAAACCACCATAGAAACCTAAATAAACTTGATTTGATTTGAAAATAGGATTTAATAAGTTTAAAAATAAAAAAATTAATTTGAATCCAAAAATATTATCGAGTCTCATCTATTTTTTTGACAAGATAAATGAATAGAAAGATTGAAATGAAGTTCCTCTCATTAAATAGAATGTCTTGCTGTAAAAGATAATGAATTTCATTGTCAAAAAGTAACCATATGCCAACTTTCTTTTTCTGTCATCATTTTTTGATGACTCGCTCTCTCATATCATGTATTCAGGGACTAAATGCAAGAAAAATAGAACTTTGGACCAAATTGTGTAATTTGAAAACCTAAACAGAACAAAAATGATTTTTTGACAAAATCTCAAGGAAACAAACAACCCATAAGGCACTAACACATTTTTTATATTAAATACGGCCTCCTATTTTTTCTTCATTTCAATTTTTATCTTTTTATTTTTATTTTTTCTCAAAAAAATAAATTAATATTATTTATTGTGAAATCAAGCTACAATTTGATGGTATGACACTTTCTTGATATTGAAATAATCATATAAAAAAATAAATTAAAATAAATTATCAATTCAAAATCCTAACCAACATAATATTGAAAAAAAAAAACCTTCAATAAACAAAGAAAAAAAAGAGAAAGGACTAGAGTTGACACCACATTTGTTTTAAAAACAAAGGCTGCTATTTTTTCTTTGTTTTAATTTGGGCTACCTTATTATTATTATTATTTTTTGCCAACAACAAAATTAAATTTGTTTTTGTAAAATTAAATAAGATATTTTTTTAAAACTGTGATAATAATATAAAAAATAAATTAAAATAAATTATTAATTTTAAATTTCAATAAACACAATATTAAAAAATAAAATTGAAAATAAATAAATGATCAATAACAGTAAAAAAGACAATAAAGAAGAAGAAGAGTAAAACCTTCTTGCAATTCACGGTAGATCACCTTACAATCCAGATCTTGTTAATTAGTTAGCAATATAATTTACTTAGTAAATTCCTTATCCCGCTGTATGGCAAACTTTTTCAAAATTTATACATACTAGAGTGATATCTAATTTATTGTTAGAATTTTTAGAAATACTGATGAAATTTTTTCTTGATATTTATACTTTTATTTTGTCAATAATAAACTTATTAATGAATGATACAACCAAAAGATTGATATTTTCTTCCAAGTGTAGGAGTGTCTAAATAATAAATAACCCGGCAAAACCGGGGTCGAACCGCATGGAGTTTAATTATATAAATTATAAATAAAAACAGTACAACAACAATAACAACAACAATAATAGTAGTAGTAGCAGCAGTAGTAGTAGTAATGCTAATACTAATAATAATAATAATAATAATAATAATAATAATAATAATAAAGTCAATTTAAAAAAATCCCTTGCACTAAAAACATTAGGACAGTTCTCTATGCCTAGGCCTTTTTGTTTATTCTTTAATATTTTAAGGGTTAGACAAAATATTATTTATTTTTTAAAAGAAAATATAGCAGGTGATGCGTCACTTACTTTTCCAGATTCTCAGTGATCACAAGTGACAAGAAAGTCAAGCAATTCAAGGGATAAAAAACCCATATTTCAACAATTATTTTAGTTGAAAATATCTAAAAACCACCATAGAAACCTAAATAAACTTGATTTAATTTGAAAATAGGATTTAATAAGTTTAAAAATAAAAAAATTAATTTGAATCCAAAAATATTATCGAGTCTCATCTATTTTTTTGACAAGATAAATGAATAGAAAGATTGAAATGAAGTTCCTCTCATTAAATAGAATGTCTTGCTGTAAAAGATAATGAATTTCATTGTCAAAAAGTAACCATATGCCAACTTTCTTTTTCTGTCATCATTTTTTGATGACTCGCTCTCTCATATCATGTATTCAGGGACTAAATGCAAGAAAAATAGAACTTTGGACCAAATTGTGTAATTTGAAAACCTAAACAGAACAAAAATGATTTTTTGACAAAATCTCAAGGAAACAAACAACCCATAAGGCACTAACACATTTTTTATATTAAATACGGCCTCCTATTTTTTCTTCATTTCAATTTTTATCTTTTTATTTTTATTTTTTCTCAAAAAAATAAATTAATATTATTTATTGTGAAATCAAGCTACAATTTGATGGTATGACACTTTCTTGATATTGAAATAATCATATAAAAAAATAAATTAAAATAAATTATCAATTCAAAATCCTAACCAACATAATATTGAAAAAAAAAAACCTTCAATAAACAAAGAAAAAAAAGAGAAAGGACTAGAGTTGACACCACATTTGTTTTAAAAACAAAGGCTGCTATTTTTTCTTTGTTTTAATTTGGGCTACCTTATTATTATTATTATTTTTTGCCAACAACAAAATTAAATTTGTTTTTGTAAAATTAAATAAGATATTTTTTTAAAACTGTGATAATAATATAAAAAATAAATTAAAATAAATTATTAATTTTAAATTTCAATAAACACAATATTAAAAAATAAAATTGAAAATAAATAAATGATCAATAACAGTAAAAAAGACAATAAAGAAGAAGAAGAGTAAAACCTTCTTGCAATTCACGGTAGATCACCTTACAATCCAGATCTTGTTAATTAGTTAGCAATATAATTCACTTAGTAAATTCCTTATCCCGCTGTATGGCAAACTTTTTCAAAATTTATACATACTAGAGTGATATCTAATTTATTGTTAGAATTTTTAGAAATACTGATGAAATTTTTTCTTGATATTTATACTTTTATTTTGTCAATAATAAACTTATTAATGAATGATACAACCAAAAGATTGATATTTTCTTCCAAGTGTAGGAGTGTCTAAATAATAAATAACCCGGCAAAACCGGGGTCGAACCGCATGGAGTTTAATTATATAAATTATAAATAAAAATAGTACAACAACAATAACAACAACAATAATAGTAGTAGTAGCAGCAGCAACAGTAGTAGTAGTAGTAATAATAATAATAATAATAAGAGAAGAAGAAAAAAAAAACAAAGAAGTTGATTAGAACTTAAAGATGTAAGATCAATGTAAGGATTAAATATTGATAACAATAAATGTCAAGGTTAGAGGATCCATTAATGATATTTCAAATAAGTATAGTATAAACTGTTA